AGGAAATACCTCTGATAACGAAACTGGCGGAGTTATATATTCAGCATACAAATCTAAGTGTGATGCAAAACACTGCATAATTAGCAATCTGCGTAACAGTTGATGTTACAATTGGCTTTCTTGACTCAAGACAGGCTTGGTTCTGTGCAGAATTCCCTCTCCGACGGAGACAGCATGTGCGGTTGTAAGAGGCCTCAAGTCCTTGTTTCGTGCTCTGGAAAGCCGTACTTCACCACCCCAGTCTTGAACCAGAGGGCTAACTGCAAAAACAGAGCATCCATCCTCCTCTCAGTATTGAACAACTGAATTGGTTCTTCATCTTCTCACTGACAGTAGATACTATCTTCTCCTGCCTGGACGTGTCATGCAGGGGATAAACTATCATCTTTTTTGCCAGTGGCTTAGCTGCTTCTCTTCTTTTAAACCAGTTTCCTCTACCACTGATAAGCTGATTTCCTGCACCCCTCACTGTCTTTCTTCCCTCGGTCTCATCCTTTTTTTGCCAACGTCGCTTTTATTGTCTTGCTCATCTCTGGATCCAAATAGGACAGAGATTTGACAATGTCTCCAAATGAGAAAAGATTAGGAAGTAGAAACAGGAGAACTACACTGTCTGCCACAAGTTGGGACAGTGGAATAAGGGAATAATTAAAATACTAGCAACCTGCCTAATGTGTTAGGAACCCTCCCTTGGCTTCAAGATGTTTTGCTTTCTTTGCTCCATTAGCACTGGAAATAGAACACAAGAAAAAACTCCTAGTGCTAATTCGTGTTGGACTGAAGCAGGTGAATTTGCAGTGTCACGAATTGGTTAGATGTAGATAAAATGCAAATTACTTCCCTTTGAACTCCAAGAGCAGGCAAGCAGCTGCAATGTGAAATTCTGATAAAACTTTGGTGCATGTCTTGGCCGGCCTTAAGATATAACTGCCACATGAGTTTGGAAATAAACTCACAATGACTTAGAAATGAACACATGAATACCAGCACGCTCCTTCTACTTGATGACAAAGTAACACACTGAACTGTTTTTCAGGCTTCAACTTGCATACCATTAGAATTTTTTAGGAGCTGCAGCCTCTTTTTTAAGAATCTAGGCTGACTGGTAAAGACTTCTTAGGTGTTTTTTGCAGTTCCTTGAAATCCTGCAGGAGTGCCGAGGGAATCTGCTGACTACAGGTTGAAAAACGCTGCTCTAGATCATTGCTCCGCAGTTTTGTAGCTTGTGGAGAAAGAAAGATTCTACTAGATAGAAATTACAGCAACGACACTACACTACTGCAGATACTCAAGCTTCCTCTAACCCTCTAAGTGCTGTGTATTACTGTGCAGATGGCTACCTCAGATCCTCAGTATGGAAATTTATGGTAAATTTGGTCTAACAACGTCGACCTCTAAGCAGGGCTCATCAGCTCCATGCTGAATTGTGATAGCTGTACTTGTAGTCTCAGCTGAATGGAGTACATTTGCATTGCATTGCAACAGCACGATGCTTCAGATAAAATGGGTGGATAGTCACAGGAAACTCATGTCAGACACATAATTCGGATTATTTGGAGCAGATTATATGCAAGCTCCTAAAAATCCAGGTCTTCTAAAACATATCTAGAGCAGCCACCCTGAATATCACCCACTGTTAGCAAACTAAAACACAATGTTTTTACATGTTTTGGGTTTGTTTGTTTTTTTGGGGGGTGGTGGGTTTTTTTTTGTTGTTTTTTCACAGAAGGGATGCAAGAAAACAGAAAAAAACCACAGAAGTGCTCTTGCATGATACATATTCCAGAACTAGATAGTATCATTACACAAATGAATATCACTGAAGCAGTACAGTTGCACTGGCTTTTGAATTCCTACATGAGAATGAACCCATACGGCATGCTGATACTTAAAGACAGAAAACTGACACCACCTTCAGTATGCCAACGTTGTGTACGCAGTAACACCGCTCAGCCGAACACACTGAAGATAATAGCGCACTCACTCATTTCTGATGTACAAAAAGAGTAACAGATCCCTTCGGTTACATTTAATAAAAACCGTTGAAACTGTTTGTTGTACATGTAGTACCATAAACACGCAGTATTATACCTCTGCCATCTTTTGGAGTTGACAAGTTTCAGCAGATTTTGAGAAATCAGATAAGCTACAAGCAAATTCGTGTTTAAGGTCCGGTGTTCAGAATATGCAGCTGTAACTGCAAGTAATGAATGCTCCCACAGCAGAACTTCAGAAAAATATGTCCCAAGACTAAAGGGAAAGGAAAGAAAGCAATTTTGATATCTGAAATTAAAGAGGAAATATATTATTATGACATATTTCTAAGAAAGAGTTCTCTATTTTTACCTTGAAATACAAATTTTTATTCCACAGTGTTTAATTAGCTTCATGGACACCTTCTTGGAAATGAAATGTCGATCAAGTAAACAGTTCACATTTTCAAAACAAGCACTTACCAGGATATATCTTAATGATTGTGCTAAACCTGGCAATCTTGCTATGATCATACTTTTCTTCTTTAGTCTACATAATAAATTACCCTGTAGCATACAGCTTTCATTCTTCTCTTTTCTTCAAACACAACTGTTGTACTCATGTTGGATTTTAACAAGTTCACATGCTCAAAGATATTCTCCTAAGAAAAAATTTAGCAGGTCACACACCAACACAGAAATTGTAAAAACAGTAATAAAATTGTTGTCATCCTTGCAGACTACCATGCTGCTAAGTCAACAACCTCTCTGAAAATTGTTAAGGATGGAGGGCCAAACGTAGCTCTTGGTCAAGCTGGTGCAATTCTGTTGACTTCAAAAGGAATGCATCTGCCCTGTGAGATTTCTTTTGTGTAAATCTTCCTTGGAAGGTTAATGGAAATTAAGCTTTCAATCTACTCAAAAGGAATAACTTATCCTTTATCACTAGGCAAAAATGATTTTTCCAAAGTACTAATGAATTTCTGTCTCATCCATGCTTTGAAGTTTCGATACCATTCTATAAGCTTCTTCCTCCTTTGAATCTTTTCTTGTAAGCTCATTTTTTTTTCTTTCTCTAGAACAGCAGGAAGCTCTTTCCAGCTTTTAATAAAGATAAATGGAGCTCCCATGGTTTTTAATAATTGTAATGGAGCACTGTGGTACATTGATGAATTTCCGCAATCACCCGGTGTCATTACATCTTCTATAACAGGCAGAGATCCATAAGAACAAGCTTCATAAATTCTATAGCATTCTGTATTTATTCCCACTGGGCACAATGTCAAATCACTCTGCAGCAAGGCATCTTGATAGTTTTTGAAACTTTCATTTGTTTCTTGAGGCTGCCACCTAGGAAAGTAAAGGGGTTGAAAATTAACATTTTTCCCAGAGGCACTGCAATGAAAAAACAGATATGCTTTAATTTCAATGATTTATAAAACTGGAAATGCTGTCAATGTAAAAATTCTATATTACACACACAACCAACAGGCTTTTACTTTTAGTCTTAACTATTCTTAAAGAGTCTTCTAAAAATTTATTGAAAATGTCACTGTTAAAAATAGACTGTAACACTTTTTAGATATAGTCCTTTTAGGAAATTATTAACACTTAGAAGTGTAAGAGGCAAATTGAAACGCCATTTTAAATCTTCTGCATGACCTGGATGACGCATATGTCAATTTACTTCACAGCAGAGTTCAGAAAGAGACATACAGGGAGACACTCGATGGAGCTTTTAATGAATTTTTTTGGCCTCAAATACTTTAAATCAGTAGAGGTTTGCTCTTCAAAAGCTAGGATGCAAAGCAATCCGTTAACCTGAATCCATCTGCCTGCAGTGCCTCAGAACGTCTGTGAGATAAGAGTTTATGTCACAGATACAATCCATCTCCTGAGATTCTTCATCAGGGTAGCTGAGGTCTTCCTAAGCACTGCTGTGCCTGCTATCAAACATTTTACAGGTGTTGCTTGGCAAAATTAAATACAATCAGAACCCTATTCCTGTTAGCCAAAAGATCTGTTCTACCTACTTGAAATAAAAAAGAGCCATGCCATACAGATTAAATCCACTCTCTTATATGGGACACAACAAAATATAGCTGTCTTTTTCTTCTAGTAAGACATTAATGCACACAAGGTGCAAGACAAACATTTCTTCTCCCACCATAATCAAATGTATACAAGAAAAAAAAAGATGGTCTTTATATGTAGTGTACATAGGAGATTTTTCTATGTATTTAAAAATACGCTTTATGTAAAATACAGCAACAGAAAGGCCCTTGCATTATGAAGACCTATATAGTCTTGGCAATGTTCTTTCTTTTAATGATGACTGGTTACTTTTACTTGTACTATTTTTTAACACTCAGGAAAGGATTGGTAATAATGAACTACACAAAAGAAGTCCGAATATTTTCACAAAGTAAATCAAAGTCTTACTGTTCTCTGGCTGCAATCCAGCAAAGTTTGTCAAGCCCATCCTGCTTCAGAATTTCCATTAGGGTTTCCCTGGAGGAGTTCTTATAAACTGTTCCTAAGAAATTACATAGATATGATCTTGGATCATGTAGCATTGACCAGCTGGGTTCTACAACTGGAAAATTCCTGTAGCTGTAAAAACAATGTTTACATTAGATAATGATATGTTTTATGTCAAAGAAAAAATATTTTGCACCATTTCACCTTTACAGCAGCAGATTCTAAGACTAAAACCACCCCTTTGTTCCCAATCCATATCTATAACCACAGACAGACCCACAAGCAAACCAGTGCAAATCCTGTCCTGAAAGTTGGTCTTTATTCCCTTTGTCCCCACCACTCTCTTCAGAGATATTCCAGAATACTTATGTCTTCTTTTGACATCAGAGATACTATGTCTGCATGTCACAAAAATGTCCTTGAGAAACATGCTTCCTCAAAAGCAGTTGTTCCTGATGCAACCACTAGTTTTGATGGAAATGGCCAGGTTAATGGTAACTATGGAGTTTATGTCTCAGCTACCTTCATCTCTGGGCATGCTTATCAACTGAAAATACCACTGGTAACCTCTCAAAGGAAAATGTCTCTTTGATCTGGGTGGACTTCATTGATCTAATCTTTTGGCTACTAAATAGCTTGTTGTACAAGCTATTTAACTTGTCTTTTTGGACTCAACAAACCCAGTGCAAAATCCTGGGATCCAATGTGAACTGTATGCCATCCTTTTAGACGTGTTTTCACCACATCAGGCATTTTTATTTTTTTGACTGATTCCTCAAATCTTACATCACTTGTTTTGGTCAGAATGACAGCTAGTGAAACACGGCTTCAGCTGAAGAGCTGGCACTAACTTTTTTCATGACATAAAGTTAATATTTTTTCTGGAACAGATGAATGTTAAAAAAGTTTCTGCTCCTTTGCATTCTGAAATTAAGACACATATTCCTTCTAATGTTATTATTTTTGAGAGATCACTGTTCTACTTCCCCTGTTGTTTCTTTTTTTGTAAGAAAAACTATACCCTTGATCCCAGTTCTTTACTGGTTTCAAAGGTAGTCTCTACTTTATTTCACAATGATTTCGTCACTGCTATTAATGGTTCTCTGAAGACATATTCACTTTCTTCACCTTCCAAATTTTGATAGAACAGTCCTTTCCTAGTTCTACTATGTCATTAAAACTAATTTACTTTCAGAAAACCATTTTTTCTTCATGCCAAATATTTTTGCAGTATTCTACATCTTTACTTTCCCTCTTCACTGGGAAAATTTGGTACATTTGCATACCTTTAACCACAATTTTTACAACTGTTGGTGTGCAAGGGCTGCAAAACCCCATTCTGATACCTGACCCATCTTTCTCCACCCAGCTTTGCACCCCACTTTACTGTTGTAACTGTTGTTGCTTGCTATTACCTGTCTCCTTAGTCCTGGCATCTCAAAAACTCAACTTCTTTTTGCTTTGAAACTTCCAATGCCATCAATTCTCTGACACCATCAAGAATCCAAATTTAGTGGATTTCAAGGACACTATGAGCAAGTTCAAGCTATGTATAAAAACTCCATACAATGTATAAAAACTCCATACAGTTTGCCAATTGGCTCAGTACAGGATATTGAATTCAAATTCAACACAAGATATGAAAATAATTCTGTATTCTTTTCATCTTACATTACCATGAGAGGTAGCTAAAACACCATTAACTCTGTTAATAAGGAGTAAGCTGGAAAAAAATGCATCTAGCTGAACCAAACCTCTATCTACTCCATATAAATAGTTCGAGCAGTAAATACAACAAAACCATTTTTGTGAGTAAGCAGTTAAGCTAGACTACATTACTGTGATACTGTAGTATACTAATTCCAAACGTGAGGCATACAGTTTCCTTTTGAGAGCCACAACAGAGGTTAAGAAAAAGTACCACCAATACCATCCCTTTCCTTTCCTAAACAAGCAGTAGTTGGAACCTAATTACATAAATATCTTCTAAATTCCCATCAGAACTTATGATAAATCTCAAGAGCAAATCTACTGAAGAAAAAATAAACAGACAACCCCACCCGACACAGGTTCATTTTTTTAAAGCTCCCTAAATCCTACCATTCTTTTCCACTGTTATCATTTTTATTGCTAAATGAAATTTCCGAAGATTCCAAGGCTTGATTTCAAAAATCATGAACAGGATCATGTTCTACAATTTACTTACTATAATTGTTTTGGGTATCAGCAGTAACATTCAGATGTATTTTCCATGCCTCATGCATAACAATTAAGTTTCAATTGTAATTTGTGTCTATAGCACTTACGTAGCTACTCCTAAAGGCCACTGGAAAATATCTTCTTCATTTACCAACGCATAGTCGTAAGTAACAAAGAGTAGATTTACAAATCCTCCATGCCTTTTCAGGTATGGTTGAATCCATTCATTGTTGCACTGCTCATTTCCAAGCAGCACAACCACGACATGCTGTATTTTGTGCGTCTGAATTAATGTTTGTGCGTAATGCAACCACTGCGTGGCGTAAGCGATCTTTGCTTTTTCTCTTCCATTCAGAACTAGCACAACATTTTCAGCTTCAACTGAGAAGTAGCCAGGAACTACAGATGGACCAGTGATGAAGCTGTGAAAACCAAAATACAAACAGTAAACACCCTTAAGATAAATTATTGACCTTAATCCTCTAAACATCCTTACTACACAGTCGGTACTCCAGAGATATTTCTTTTTCTTTCAATAAAGTAAATGCAATATACTGCAAAGTAGCTGTGCAACTGTAACCATTTCTGTTGTTAATATCTACAGCTGTAACACAGGAATACAGCTGTCGTCATCTTTGCTCAGGAAAAAGGAGATTTAGACTTAAATGAAAATAAGATATTTTATCAATAAATCAGAACTACTACCATATTCAAACATCAAAATGTGGGCAAACCAGTCAACTTTAAAAGAAGGATGTGCTTTGGTGTTCACTAAAGGTCAAACTTTTTATTAATTCCAGTAATAACCAATGCATATAGTAAAAGAAGAAAAGAGAGGCCCTCCCAAAAATCTGCAAGAGTATACTAAACCGGGTATCATTACGAGGGACAACTGGCTGGTCTGGCATACTACTGTTCTCTGTAGTTTTGGTTAAGACCTCATCTGATACTGAGTAGAATCTATAACATAAGAGGTATGTATCTAAACGTAAACTTAAGTTGCTTGTGTGACCCAGGTCAAACTTGAGGCTTTGATACAAGCTAGTTAGCAGAAACATTTTAGGTAGAAAATTGCACTTCTAGATCTTGCACAATGTATTTATTTAACAGAGGAATTTCAATCATGTAGCAAAATCATTACATCACTGATCATTTACAGGTATCTGACAACACCCATTTATGAACTGCAGTGAAGCTAACCAGTGTTTGCCAGCTCCTGCTCTTCAGTTAACTGCTGCATTAACAGACTATTGACTGAACTCAAAAGATTAGTGATTACATAGCTTG